GGGGCTGATTGTGCTTTTCCCGCTGTTAAGCGCTCCGCTCTCGCTGGGCACGCTCCAAGGAGTGTGTCCGTGCCTGTGATCTTGCGTTTGCGGTCCCGCTGCTGCTGAGGCACGGCAGCGACTGAGATCGTGGGGATCGCACATGATCTGGCGGACGGGTTGGAGACGGCTCTTCCTTGAGATCTCGCTGCTGCAGTCATCTTTGAGGAGATTGATATTGTTTGTGTGACTGAGCGGCTTGAGCACTGCTGAGGCAATGCGTATATTACATAATTTCGGTTTTTGATGTGAATCTTACTACACCAGACCGTATTTACTCATCTAGTTGTTTGACTGCATTTAATTCTGAGGAATAAAATGAAGTATTTATCTGATTATGAGAAGTTAGATATACAGGGGCTCTTGGGATAAAAACTTTCTCGAGTGAGAGCACGAGTTTACCTCTCTTCCTCTGAGGAGGTTGAAGCGGTCAGCAGGGGCTGCCTGGCGGGAGCAGTCCCAATTTACCGTGTTCCAGCCCCTCATTCTGGGGGCGTCACTTCTCGTACTCCGCAGAGTCTAGAGACAGAGTTGTGCTCCCATGCCGAAGGCTTCTAACGGAAGGCGGTTCTGCGGACCGTCATTCTCACTGGATAGTCTTAGTCTTAAACGTCCTGACGCCTAAGGCCTAGGACTTTTTGAGGACCAGCTCCCTCTGGGGAAGAGCGGTGTACACGGTGCCCGTCTCTCCGCAGTGCCCTCAGAAGATCGGTCTGCCTCCGGCGAGCACTTCTCTCAGTTACCGCCCGGAAGCGGTAACTTAGCGGTACTAAGAGGCTCGCTACCTCTACGGAGGTCTCTAGAGCAGCTAGTACGGCCGTCCCCTGCCGGTCCGCCGCTTCAGGGCACCGAGCTAGCTGCTCTAGGCGCAGCTCGAGTTCCTGAAGGGGAACGTCTCCAGGTTACGCATGTAACCATGGTTCCCCGAAGGGAACGAGACGCTGCGTCTCAGGGCCATACTTCCGGCATCCCTGCCAGCACTTGTTTCACTCTTAGAAGCTGACGCCGGTTTCACTGCACGTGCTTTTATGCTCCTGGTCGCTACGTCACCCCGCCCGTGACGTCTCGCCCATCCATTGGACTGATTACACATCTGATTCAGAGCGTGGTCACGCTGGAGGCGTTCCCTTAGTGTTTCGACGCAGCGTCTCGTTCCCTTAAGGGAACCATGGTTACATGCGTAACCTGGAGACGTTTTTTCTGTGGCATCACTGCAAAAAAAAAAAAAAACCTATTGGAACCTTTATTTTTAAGAGTGTGTGAACTCATGTCTGATCTCTCTTGGTCATTTTGATGCAGTCCAGACCACTTGGACTTAGTTTTATTGAAAGCAGTCCTTTGTGAATATTCATGCAAGTTTACATATGGCTTTCATTCAGTGTAGTAGTGACATATAGTGCCATTGGCGGGCATATTGCTGTGATACAGATGTCACACGTCTTCTTTGTGAGCTGTTGACTGGCATTATCTTGGTGTTGGCACTGTGGGGTTGTTTTTCTGTGGCATGTCAAAGAGATTCTGGGTCGCTCGCAGCTTGTTGTCAGAATGGTCAAAATATCATGTTTCACTTTCAGCTGACAGACTGTGTGTTGCTGAGATGTTTGGAGAGAACTGAAGGATTCAAATGAAAAATAAGGATGTGATTTTATTGTCTGTACGAGGCAGTTGCGTGCAGAGAGAAGAATTGGAGACCACACATGGGAACAATCATGTGCTTGGCCAAAACTCTTTATGGCTAACACTAGTCTTCACAAAAATACACAATGTTTGTAATACTTAGGAGTTGAAAGCAAAGAGTGGCATTAAAATAAAACCCACAAAGCTTTTAAAAATACCTAAATTAAATAAATAGACATCTGACAGACATTAATGCAGGTGCAACACACACAAGGAACAAACCGTAGTAATGTTAGAAATGAGACGGAAGAGTTTCACATTGTATTTTTTACATTAAATAAATACCAAAATAATCAGAAAAAATATAGTATTTTAGAAGATAGATATAATTCTGTAAATGTATAGACAATGTATTAATCTACCCTGTTGCTTTTTAAACCATTTACATTCTCCTATAAGCACTAAAGTGCTTCAGCAATTTTGTAATCCTTCACAGTCATGTTAGTAAATCGATGCAGACTCATGAATTATTATGCTTTCTATTGCAAAAACAACGGCAAAACAGAAAGCTCTTCTGAGTAACTTTGTTTATGCATGTATGTTTTGTAAGAACTGTTTGAATGAAGAGGCCTTTGGTAAGACAATGCGTTTCCAATAGCCCATAGGTCAAACACTGCAGCAGTATGTGATTCAGCAAGATCTACTGCATCTCCAGCATCACAAGTCATGAAATGTTTTTATTTTTTTTGCACATTAACCCACATTACAATCAGTCATCACTCTGTGAATAAAGTAAAAATCCCCCATCATAGCATAGTGACAAGTGGGAATGCCACCAGGGAGTTTAGGAAGCAAAATCCAAATAATAAATGACTAAAGGGAATATAGCTAAACTGAATTTAAAACAATAATTGCATCCGTCGAGCCGATTATGCTTTGACTTGCATGGTGCTGAAGAAAATGTCTCCTCTGGGTGAGCTTGTTAATACTTGTTTTATTTTTTTTATTTTCGAAACCTTTTGTGGTGACATATTTGTGGGCAGGAGCGAGCTGTTGTTGTGATTTTAAAAGCTCTCAAGCTGAGACAGAGACGCTGATGGTTTATGTTACCTGAATTTCAACAGTGGTGTTTGTGGCTTACGGTGCGAGTCTTTTGCTTTCACATCAATTAATAGGCAGTATTACTCTCTTCACATTGTGAAGTGCAGCAATAGTTTTCCAGAAATGTTGAACTCCTACGCTTGTTACTGTAATGGGCTTTATGTGGGCTGATTTCATTATGTTACAGGAAAGTGAACGAGAGAGTGAGTGGGTGGGTATATAGGACTCCAGTCTTAGATGAGATTTGTTTGATTGATTGTATAAAAACTCATAGCCACCTAAAAGAATAGTTCACTCAAAAATGAAAATTTTCTGAAAAGTTACTTACCCTCAGGTCATCCAAGATGTAGATTAGTTTGTTTCTTCATCAGTTTGGAAAAATTTAGCATTACATCACTTGCTCACCAATGGATCCTCTGCAGTGAATGGGTGCCGTCAGAATGAGAGTCCAAACAGCTGATAAAAACATCACAATAATTCACAAATAGCCTGACTCCATTTTCATCAACTGACGTCTTGTGAAGTGAACATCTGTGTTTGTAAGAAACAAATGCATCATTAAAACATTTTTAACTTCAAACCATTGCTTCCAGCTAAAATATGAGTCCCCTGTTCATAATATTGCTTTCTCCAGTCAAAAAGTAATCTGATCTTAGGACCATGCAACTGTTTGAACATGGAAGAAAGGTGGTTATACATCAGCTTGGAGAGCCAGTAAAGTTGATTACATTAATAATGTATTAAAATGTTAAGTTACCTACAGTATATAGAAATATACTGTATATACTGAAATATACTGAATATGCACCAAGGGTCTGAGAGTAACGCAATTTCAATTCTCTGTGTGTATGTGCTGTACATGTGGAAGAATTGACAATAAAGCAGACTTGACTTGACTTGACTTGACTTGATATTCTTCACTGAGCCGCTGTCTGAAGTAATAATTCACACCTTTGTCAAGCATTGACAATAACAGAACCATTTTTCAAATCACAAACCTGTGTTTTAAATAATCTTTTAAAAACTATTGGTATTGTTGTGTAAGAATTAAGGGCCAGGACATGGCGCCATTAAAATGAGAGTATTCCTACAAATATATCAGTGCAACCACAGATTCCACACCCTGTCATTTTCCAGGAATAGATGGACGGGTAGTAAAATTACAGCTTTTGAAAGGGTGGAAATTTATGCACTGTCAGTTTAGAACTGGGAGCGACTGTAAGGGTTTTATCGGTTGTGTGTGTCAGAATGATTCTTGTATTAGTAACATCGTTACTCATCGCCCTCTCTAGATGTTAAGTAGAAAGTTGGTACAACTATTTGTGTTAAGGTTAAATGCTTTTGTTTATTTGGTTATGCTGTAATTTACAGTGCATTTTGCAGTGTACTGTAATTGCATGAGTAAGTACCAAGTAATTTTAATGAACATCATGAGCTTAATATGTAATTATTGGCTGGGACTGCTTGTAATTGCATACTTCTTATTACAACACTTGAAAGGAGAACCCACTTAACCTAGAATGCTGGCCAAATTTGACCTTATAATGCTTATTTCAATTTTTCTTACAACAAAATCTGTAGGGAA